GCCAAAACACGCTTCCAATGCATACCGCAGCGAGTTTGGATGGCCAGGATCCAAGAAGCGTCTTGATAACTGATGTGAACGCCCATATGAGGCTGCGGGAGAGATGTCGCTGCTGTCGAATAAAGATATTGCTTGTCTGGCTGCCTTCCGGGCCTCTTCCTCATCAGGTAGAGCCACAGCTGCCAAGAGCCATGGGAGAGAAGCCCAGCATGAAGTCTTGACCTGATTTGCTGCGGAACAGTAGTGAGGCGGAGCTCTTCGGCGGTGATCGAAACCTCTGAATCTGCAATCAATCTGAAGACTGACTACTTGAGGAGCGGCGCCCCACTTGCGCACACAAGATTCGCTCAGCTGCGCACACAGCCTAGCATGATACATTTAACTCGTAACTCACCTGCGCACACAGGGTTCGCTCAGCTGCGCGCACATCGATTACATTCTTCTTTCAACTTTTGTTACCTCAAACTCATCTGCGCACACAGATTTCGCTCACCTGCGCAGCCTGCGCACACACAAATTGAGTCATGAAGTCAGTCGGATCGGTCGAGTCGAGTATTGCCTTTAAGTTTAGGTGGAAAGGTTTTCCTGAACAACTTGCCCCGATTCACAGCAATTGACAGTCACACAGACACAGTCACACAGACACAGAGGTTAAACAACACATGTGCAAGGCCCAAGGGCTAAGTCAGGCTAGGTGCTTTCAATTCGGTCAGAAGCAGGTCAATGGCAATCGACCAATCTGACGCCAAATCAACTTGCTGCTGGTGCTCAGACAGGAGGCTCACCACACTCAGTAACTCGCCTCCAGCCAAGGTGGCAACCTGGGAGAGACCGATTCTTAATTGAAACGATATAATGATATAATGATATACTTGAATTTGAATGAAGTTCCAATTCAATTCACATTAACACTTTTGACTATTTTTCCAACAAACCAAGCCAACAATGTTCAACAATGTCAATGGTCAACGGCGAAAAAAACAAACATGTTTAGAATGTATTCCTTTCTGTCCAGAGTCCAAACCAAGAAGCTTGCTGGCAAACATCTTCAAAGACACCGCCAGCAAATTCGGGCGCCCGTCGTCCTTGAAGCTGACAAGTCGTCAGTGTGGAGGGGACTGCATTGAATACCCTGGATCGCATTCCCCCAATGCTTTCGTTGATTCTGCGGTTGATCGCTCTCCTTCGGCTTGTTCCTTGGACCGTGAGCGCAAGAGCGTGCTTTCGCAGAATCCCAAACTTCCCAATCCCACCGAATCCCAAGCAAACAGAACTGAGAGGGAACAGGAACGGAACATGCAAAAGTTGCGAAGCTTAGTTATACATATATATATATGTCACTACGTCACTAAGTTACTAAGTTAAGTCTAGTTAAAGTCATTTTGTCTAGTCTAGATTCGATACAAATTAGAGACTACGACTACGACTACAGTGATTGAGATTGAGAGTATATAGTATATTAGAAACTCTTTTCTTTGCTGTTTTACGCAGTCGGCAGCCGGAGGACCTTTCAAATGGTCATCAAACTGGTGGCAGGAACAGCCGCCTGACCATGAAGAAATAGTTTCAATTGCCCCAACCACAATGAGAAGGAAGTCCTAGGCCGCTGGACTGGGCTGGTTCAAATCCCCTCCCATCCGACCGACCCAGCCAAGAACACCGTGGCAGGCTAGGCAGACTTGTCTGACTACGTGTTTAACATACAATCACTGATAATCACATCACAATGAAAAACTTAAAGCGCAGGGTTTGGCGCAAGGTATGCCCAAAAGAAGACATTGTTGACAACAGCCGTGAGTTTCTTGGCATCCCCCTTGGACCAAGAAGACTCCACTTGTGCAATCTTGGCTGCTTTTGCCCGGCTTCTCCCATCGTCGTCCCATGTAGAGCTGCCTTCACAGGACTTCTTTTCATTCCACATGGCTTGCAAAGGACCCTTACGCCGCTTTAAGGCTTGGATGCAAGCAACAAGCGATCCCCATCTCCACATATTCAACGTCCCTCCTTCCCAGGAGGTGAAGAGCGAAGAAAATTCGGTATGTCGAAAGATTTTGCTGTGAAGGCGATCTCGGTAGTATGGCTGGCTCATGAAATCCTGTGCAGTCGGCAGTCGGCGCTAATTCAAGGTTTGGGGAATTTGACGGATTGACCAAATTTGACACCTGTTGACTCTTGAGTCGATGCCTCAAAACAAAAAGCTGTTCAATTGATTAAACTCCTCAACAAACCCATGCCGCAAAGAGGCGCAGCAGACCTTGAGAGAACTCTGGAATGATTCATAATGCTGAAGCTTGCCCAAAAGATCACCGATTATATTGTCGAACATATGCTTCGGTCCGGGCACAAATAGTCCGCAAGACATGCTGAAGTACTCCGGGGACTCCGATCCACCACCAGAGTCATCCAGCTCAAGCATACCGTTGGAGCTAGCAACGGCGTTGGACACGCATTTGCCAATGTCAATCGGAGGAACCTCACTCAGAATCATGACTGATGACTCATGACCGGACCATAACCACGAGACTCTCAAAACCATGTGCCATGTGGCCATGTGGGGTTTGAATCGGCTTGAGGAGTTTGAGGCTTGAGGACCCGCTTGTGTTCTTTCCTATAGTTCCGAAGCCAGGGGGCATCGACAAATTTGGCTTCTGTGCCATAATCAGCAACATAGGCGATGATGCTCTCACCATACTGCGATAGCCTTCCCGGCTCGAGGCCAACCTTGGCGATCGGCAGGCGACCGACCAACCAATTGTTAATTTACTGTTACTGTCTGTTGCTTTACCTTGCCTCATGTTGCCGTTGTTATTTATACTGGTGACAGTGACCGGCGACCGGTGACAAAAACCCACAGACCACATTGACCACATAACCATAGACTATATAATTTAACCATGACTACTAACTACCATGACTACTAACTACAACCCATTTGTGTCCTCGCCTCACTGCATCAAAGCCTCCCGGAACCCACGCTTTCCCACAAACAATTGCAGCGGGAAGCGTCCAACTTCAAACCTCCAAATACAGCCTCGAATTTTGCTGCAAGGTCACCCTTTCCATGACCAATTGAAGATATCGGCAAAACATTTGTTTGAAGATAGCCTGCTGCGCAAAAGGCTTCGATGTCCACGGAGTAGCCCCCGCTCTCTATCACCTCAATCACTTGCAAATGTAATCTTATTGGTGCTACTACTACTACTACTACTGGGCTACGGCCATTAGGCCACTAATACAATTACAGTTGCTTTACTTTATATCTATGTCTATAATATCTATATTTTTTCTCTTCAACCGTCTCACTGAAATGAAACTGCATGGCATGAATCATGAATCAGACCAGAAACCAGATGCGCATGCTTCCTGCAAATTGAATCCTCCAGAGTCATTTGGAAATCATTTCCAGACTGAAGAGAACTGTCTGAACTCAAATAAATAAAGTGCTCATCTCCAGCAAAAGCTTCTTGCCGCGATCTGCAGAGCATCACCTGAGTTGTATGGCGGTCGGATTCCTAGCAGTAGCCAGTAGCTGCAGCCAGGAATGAATTGTCACTGTTACTGTGACTGGCTGATACTCTGTTGCTCAAGTAGTGGGATTGCAGCGCAATCAAACTCAACCCAGAGCGATCTCCTGCCGACAAGCCACATCAAGCTTCAAACGAGCTCGCGAAATGCTGGATTCATGAGGTACTTTGAACTGCTTGGTCTCCAGATCCTTTCGTAAGACCTCTGCAGCTTGTGGTCCAACCAATAGCGAGGCGCTTCGTACAAGAGCTTCGGGGATGTGGGCCTCAGAGCACACTGCAGCGCTTGCTTGAGGGTATGGGTGAGGGCACCCATCAGCTCACTAGTCGTTGTGATTCGTGACTAGTACTGAGTAGCGCTAGACCTTAATGAATCCCAGCCAAAGGATCTGCGTTTTTCAGAAGCCTTGCCATCAACAGCGTCTCCATCAAACTTTGCAGTTTGTAGCTCCATGTTTTTTCCTGCGGCTAGCCCGGCTAGCTAGGAATATGGGATTGATTGGGGTCCAGCCGGGTCAGCTGAAGAACAACCACGACAAACAAACTACCCCTAATATCGGCATAGCCCAAAACAAACAGCAGTATGTGATCCATGTTCCCTGCGACTCCTTCTTGTTGATTCCACAGCCTGGCCCAGCTGAAGCGCTGGGCGCTTCTCCCACAAAGGCAATCTCTAAGGAGGCCAGTGGCAATTGCAAATGAGCATAGTGTCCAGGGTCATTTTCTATTGTCTGGCGCAGCACTGCCAATGCTCTAGGGACTGCTGGATCCACAGCCGCCATGCCCAGCTGACCAGCCGGTGCAGCGCATGGCGCATGGTGCACATCAACATCAAATCAACATTTACATGTGTGCAGTCTGTTTGCACTTACATACAGACATACATCTACAGTTAATGCAATGGAAAGCTTGCTTTGCTGCATCAACACCCATGGGCCCATACAGCATGCCATCATTAAAGCAGTCCAGGATTGGTTGATGTATTCGGACTTCAGGCTCGTGAAATAAGTCTGCCAACGTTAAGTGTCCAAGTTGCCTCATGAGCCCAAGCAGCTGGTTGTTTTTTACCTATAAAACTACCTGCCAGCCACGTGAAGGCACCAGTCTCAGGCTTTAGCGACTTATATTTTCCCATGTTCCAAGAACACAGGGACCTGAAAACCAGAAATACCTCCTGATCACGCATATCAGTCGGAGACAAGCCCACGGTGCAAGTTAATAAGTACGACTGCTTGTTCTGCTCCATACAACATTTGGAGCCAATAAAACGCAACAAGAACTCTTGTACTTGCATTACGAAGTGGGATTGAGAAATCATGCGCACTGCACCGAACATGCGGCATCCAGACCTATTCCGGACACCATGGGACTGCCATATATGCCATTGACCCCTCAAACCACCCCAATGTAGGTATGCCATACTGGTACATGGAGTGTCTGGGTACACTGCCGGAACGATGCGGCTCTTCCTCGCGCCTGGGGCGATTTCAAGAGCATGGAGAAGTGGTGCTCCGACGGCCTGCCGAGCACCCGGGTCCTGGGATGTACGTGGATGTACAATGGCCTACCCTAGGATTCCAACCAGCATAAATTCAATAGTCTTCAAGGATTTTACAACACCAGGTCAACCATGTTGTTGATGGTCTTGGAAACCTAGGGTCACAATGTCTATGTGCTTTGTTATTAAAATAGTGCGAACGGATGGAAAGGTGTGCCCTGGCCCCGTTCTAGCCCTCAGTTCAACATGAAGCTCGCGCGCTAAAGCTCCTTTTTACCTGGTTGGGCACTTGAGCCAAAAGTATATGGCATGTACCTGTATAGCAACTATACTGGGACCTCATCCCTATTGACACCCCCCACATCCGTGCTTCGACGGGGAAGGGAGATGAGTGGATGTAAAAACCGGAGAACGAATCATGTTCTCAAAAGTGCATTGGAGGTCAACCAGTATGTCCTATAAAACTGAATTAGCAAACGATCTTGCATTCGCTTGAAAGTTGGATCAAACAGGTAATGGAGCTACAAACGGAAAACGTGCACCTACCTATGGTATCATGCGATTACCAGCGGTGTGAAACACAATCCTATCTCACTCCCATGATGCCAAAACGGTCATCATGAATTACCCAAGACCCCTCAGTACATGAAGTACCGGAAGTGGCGTGTCGGTATGACCCCAATGCTCAACCATTCGTGAGTTGTCGCATGTAGTCAGCGCCGACAAAGCCAATGTAGTCCTTGATGAGCTCAACGTTCCTTGGGTTTCCCCTTCGGATCTGCTCCTCAAAGAGCTTCAATTTCTGTGCTTGGATATCGGATACCTCTATGCCATAGTAGCGGCATGCAACGAGGATCTCCTTTGTGACATTCTTCCGCTCCGATTTGATGGCGGGGCTAATGTCGATGAATTTGTATGGAGCGGCACCTTCGTCATCTGGTTTCTGGTAGTAACTATATCGGCTCGCTCCAAAGGTCTTCCTGATCAAGCGTCTGATGAAATTTGAGATGAATGCCAGCTTCTCGATGATCTCTTCCTGGGTCTCAGATCTTCGAGCCTTTGGATCACTCATGTTACGCCGAGTGCTGCCGACCTCTTTGAGGTACTTGTGGCTAAGCCCGCAGCGGATTGCAGTGATCATCATCGGGTGAATAACGTGGGCGTGGAATTCATAGATCTGCCACGCTTCTGTTGCATACGTGTCGTTGATCCATTTGCTCATGCCTACGACCTCGGCTCTCTGAAGGCGTCTTGGAAACCCAGTATCCGGATCATTCTGTACTATTGGCCATCTATTGTATGGAGTGTCATGCCGCTGTCCATCGTCGAACTTTCGCAGTACGTCTTCACAACTCTCAAAGCAATTGATGTCGAACGTTGCGTTGGCCAAGCTCTTGATCAACTTCATCAACCTCAGATCAAATTGCTGTGTGACTGCAAAGTTGTGGTCGATGGGGATCGCAGCTTCTTGCGGCAATTCGTCAATTGCGAAGGGGAAAGGCTGTGGAAGTTCATTCCCGTATCCATCTTGAGGGACCTCCCGATATTCGGGTTCGCCTTCAGCTTCGTCCGGTCGTTCCTTCAAAATGATAGGAACTTCCTCGTCTTCCTCTCCTTCGGATTCCTCGACGTCAATGACTTCTTCGGCTGTCTTGCGTGCATTCTTGATGACTTCATCGATGTTTGCACCTGCAGCAGAAGTTGCTTCACCGGAAGAACTGGCTGGTACATCTCTCGGAGGTGATCGTTGATTGCGGTCCCTTGTCTCCTTGGGTACCACATGCGTGAGCTTCCCATTCGCGATCAAAACCGCTACGCAGTGCGGACATATCGTCAATCGCACATCGACTTCGCCAAGACAGTTAGGACACGGTCTTGAGTCGTAGTCTTTCATTGCTCGGCGGTATACGATCTCCTCAAAGATTTCCTGCCACTCAGTGCTATCGTATTCTGGGTAGATACCACTCTCCTCGATCATGCCCAACAGCTTTGAGATTTTGGCGTCGTCCTCGGAGTAGGTATCGTCCTGGACCTCAACCGCTAAACTCTCAAGCTTTTGATAGCGTGGAGTCATGATCGGGTTTCCGTATTTGGACTCCAGAACAAGGTAGCTTCCAGGGTCGGGTTCTCTATTGAGTAACCTGATCCATTCGATCTCCTCAGGCTGTCCGGGTTCTGCATTGTCGCATTGCAACCATGCCCCTTTAACCTCATCGAAGGGAACGACGTCCTCAACCAATAGAGATCCAGTCGCTGATATGAGAAGCCCGTACTCCTGCAGCTTCCACACCGGAATGTAGAGAACCACTGGGCGATCACTCAATGCGACCTTACGACCCAGCCAAGGTTTTCCCTTGTAGCCCTGCTCCCAGGCCCATGGCGGAAAACATGTGAAGTGGATAGAATCCCTTCCCGATGAACCGAGACCTCCTGGCACTAGCCCCCGTCGCATGATTGAGGTCAGCGCTCCAAGATTGGTAGCGTGAAATGCAGTCACCATGGATAGGGCCATGTCGTTGGTCATTCTCGATCCAATGTGGTCGATGTTGATGGTAACGTCATAACCTCCGCCGTCCGATGAGTGTGCTGAGGTTGCTCTTACGACCACGGGAAAGCACCATCCATCGCTATGGTGGAGTCTTCCTTTGGAGATTCCCATGCCCTTGAGTTCGTCAATCCATTCCTTCTCCATCGGGTCATCAGGATCATTGAGTTCATCAGGGTGAACGCGGACCGCCAACATTTGGAATCTGATCCTCTTGGTTATGCGGAAACACTCATAGTTCTGGTCGAGGTACTTTTCCAAACGCGCCTTCTTGGTCACGATGTCTATATTGCCATAGTGATAACCGTCCTCCCAAACTGCGTTATCACCTAACAGGTCTTCCCATGACACCCATGCGCCTTCGTCGCATTTGATTGGTGTGAGTCTTCCTCCTGTCCTGAACTGACGTCCAATTCGGTGCCTCAACTTCGCTCCCAATCGACGACTCAGGGCCTGGCTCGCTTGGCTGTATTCTGGTACTCGACAGTCTGGAGTCGGATACTTGTGGTTGCCGTAGTCGGAGTTCTGTGCAGCGAAAGTGACTCCGTTGATCGGTACTAGCTCAACTTTCCCGACCATTGTCATGGGGTCGATCGGCTTGTATCCCTTCTCCCTCCGTGTCGGTAGGGGATAGAATTGATGACATGCCTTTGGTTTGAGGGAACTGGAGTGCACAAATGCCTTCTCTACAAATTCGTACACCACCCTCATATCCCTAGGGCCTACTTCCGCAAGCTTCCGCCCATTGTAGGAATGTGTCCCTCCTTCGACTCCATCGGCACTTTCAATCAAGGTGAACCCGTCATGGTCAAACATTGTCACGACTCTTGCTTTCAACATTTCTTTTCGCCTGAACTCGCTGTCGACCTTCCTATCTGGAGTAGGCGATGCTCTCTGCTTCTTCTTCTTAGGCCCCTCGGCTGGATGTCCGGATGGTACATCGTCGGGTGCAACCTCTCCCTTCACTCTCTTTTTCCAATCACTCAGCACTGAGGTGACTGTGGGTGAAGATGAAGGGATCTTCTCGCAATTGAGAGTTGTGTGTCCCGACTTCATGCAGTGGATGCAGAATTCTGCTTGCCCGATCTTCTTCTCGAATTCGTCGATGGCTTGCAGTATTGATGTCTTCGGATCGGACATGTCAACGTCTTGCTCCTCCTTCTCCTGTTCACATTCAGTTTCCATATCGACACCTTCGGCCTCGGGCTGGTCAGTAGCCTCTGCTCCCTGTTCTGGTTCTTTCCCAATTTCGAAGAAGTGGTCGATGTCGAATTCAGGAGGCGGCATGGTCCTCATGCGAACGAGAATCAGTGCCACGTTTGCCGCCTCATCAGAGTGCGGGTCCAATGTTCTGATCATCGATCGCTTTCGGTTCTCATACGTTGTCCTGTCGTACAGCGATGCAGTGACGCGCTTGATGGATTCTTCTAATCCCGTCCTCAAAGCCTCAATGTCACCCCATCCCAAGAACAGGTGTTTGAAGAGTTGAGCAATTTCTAACATGCCCAGCAGCGCTTCCACCATATCACCTACCCGTTCCTCCGTGGGATCATCTCCGAACATCGTACGGAATACATCGGGCTCCAATATGGTCTTGAGGTATTTGGTGTAGCACACGTTTCCAAGGTCATAGGATCCCTGGTAGTACTTGGCGCTGCCGACTATCTGCTTTTCCACATGGATGCTGGGTCCTCTCCTCGTTTTGAAGAAGTTCTCCGTCATTGTCGATGACAACCTGATCCCCCCGAAGAACGAGATCTCCTTCTGGAAACCTGGGTTCCCGTTAAAGATGATCATCGCTTCGTGTAAGAACTTCATCAAATCTACATGCGGATTCATCTCGGAGATCATGACGGTGGGAGAAGATACCGTTTGCCCCATGCCGAAGTTGTGAAGCAATCGAGCACATGCATGAAATCGCTTCTGGACGTAATCTTCTGCGGACATCCCACGGCATCTATTTGCTGCTCCGTTGATGCATTCTGCATAGTCTATGGGGTTGCAGACCAAACAGTAATCGCAGCAAATCTCCTCACCCTCCTTGAAGTCATCAATGACGTACCACCTTTGAGTCCTCGAGTATATTGGTTCTGGCTGAAGGACTCCCCAGTACTCATCCATCCATGGCATTTTGTTCTCTCTCCTTACCTTCTCCCTCTTCCTCCGCTCAGACTCGTTCTCACCTGAAGCTCCCGCAGTGGACTGATATGCATGGCTTCCTCTTACGGAGTCTCCGAACAAGTACTGATACAACCTCTCTTTGTCCTGCAACACGTGTTCCAAGTTGGGATCATGGAGGCTATTCGCTTCGGTCAAGGGATCCGGTGCCATGAAGCAAGAAGCGAGCATCTTTTCTCTGAACAAATACTTTTCCATGACAGCGTGGACCAAAGAGGTTCCAGACTTCATAGAGTAGGGGTGACCGCCTCCGGCGACCGAAATGGCTCGCCAGAATCTGTCCGACGTCGTGGACATC